AAATACTAATACATACTTTTTTTCTTCAATTTTTTTTCGCAGTTATAATTAAATGCACTGGGTGGAGCATTTAACAAGTGGATTGTGTTTTTGATCACATAATGTCGTTGTCTGCCTCGCGAAGTTTGGAATTAGATGAAAATGATAGCCTATTACAAAATGGAATTACGTTTAATCAATTATTAATTATTATTATTATCATAATATCACCACCACAATGAGAAATCACATGAAATCCAAAGAAACAGCAGTCGACTGAGGAAGCAGCTGTCCATCACTGCATTAACGACTGCAGGTCAGCAGCTGTACCCCGATATCTTCTGGTAGCAAAATGATTCTGACATATGCTTCCTTTAAGTTTCGTTGAGGGAGACAGGTTTAAGAACAGAAAACGCAAAGTGCTGTTACTTCACTTTGCACACACACACACACACACACACGCGCGCGCGCGCGTCTCTGCAACGCCTGTGTGTCAGCGCAGCGCGTTTTCTCACTCGAGCATGTGGATATTATTGTTTTTCTCAACATTGACGTGAAACAATATAAACATTATAATCATATGCTGACTCGAGTATGCTGACTACGGTCTGTACGATAACTGCGCAGTCTGCTTCTTTTTTTTTTTTTTTTTTTTTTTTCGTTTGCGCTGCCTGAGCTTAAATGCTTTTGTTGTTTATTTTGTTTACACATGTTTAATGTTTTCAACTAAAAGAAAACCTTAAGATATATAGTAAGCTTGTTGTGTATAGGCTATTGCCTAACGTATAAGCTTGTAAGAAATAATGACAAAAACCTTAAACTTAAAAAAAATAACGTAGGCTATCTCTCGTTAAACGACATTTAAATTTAAACCCAGAAGTCTGTCCCAACCACCGCCGCATTTAGTTTAATCTTAACTTTTTACTTTAGCTACTTTACTAGCTTCCTCCTCTTTCAGTCTGCTCCCTGCTCTGGCTCGTTCTTCATCTTCCTTGTGTTTTCTGGTGGACGGACGCGTACGCTCAGTTTGTTTCCATGATCATTTCTCGCGCTTGTTTCACTGCAAACTGCGCGCAGCCAATGGGCGTATGAAACGTCATCACGTAGCATTAGGGCACAGTGTTTATGGGAAATGTAGGAAGTACTGCCAGGGGGATAAATGACTGAGAACAGAACCTTATGCATCACCGGCCAAACTGGCTAGTAAGTTTTTATTAACACCCGCCAAAATGAATTTTAACCCGCATTTGGCGGGTGTTAATTTAGAACCCTGCACAAGACATAGCCTACATGTAACAATATCAAGCCTTTTAATCTTTATCCTTTTTGTGTCTATAGGACATTAGCCCCCTCTCTCCTTAAATGTGAATTTTGAGGAATTTGATGGAGCATATAAATTGCAAATAAAAAAATAAAAATTTACTTATGAAATAAAATAAAATAAACATTAGTCAACCGATCAGTACTTTTAATACTCATAGGTAGGGCTGCACGATTTGAGGAAAATGTCATATTGCGATTAATGAAGTCAATATTGCGATTGCGATATGCGATTGCGATATAATACAATTTTTTTTTCATGAGTCAACTTGCTTGGTTCTAAAGTAAAATGCACACACAGATTAGTGATCATTCTGTGTATTAATGTGTATTTCTCAACTCAAACTAGCAACAACAACTAAATGATTGATAACACCTATAATGATAAATAAACCATTGATGTCTGGATAAAAATGACGACACCCCCCACATTTTAAACGTTAATTATAGCCATCCAACATTACAGGGATTCCATCAATACAATTGAAAGCTATCAACTTTTAAAATATTGATTAGGCTTAAAAAAAAACAGCTTTTAAATTAAGTGAACTTCAAACAATCCTCACATAAACCCATAATAAATGCCATATTTACTTGTGCCCTTCCTGTCTTAACAGGTAGGATTGAGGATTTATATACAGATTTATATACAGAAATTGAATAAAGTTATCAAACAGTCTGCGCTGCATGAATTATAAATTATATATAGACTAATCCTTATTAAAGTTACAAAACTTCTTTAGTCAAGAGCAGTGAGTAATTTTCTGTTCCCTTTGTTCTTTGATTAACTTTACTGACGGAACGCTTTATTCGCTGCTGGCCCTTTAAGAGCAGCCGTTGCCGAGACGCGTATCTCACACGCGCCTCATTCTCTCACAAGCACAACTCTTTTCGTCCATCATAAGACTGTTCTTATGTTATGAAGATAATCGACAAAACGAGATTTTTGTAGTAGACTGGGTTTCTCATGTTGGGGTTCTCATGTGAGGAAATGCGGTGATGTGATTGGTTCTTAGGTCACGTGACTTAGTGTAATCAGGAAGCTCCGAAGTGAGCTGTGTCTGTGTGTGTATATGCGGCTGTTCTCTGGCAGTTCCCGGTAAAAGCGATTGTGCTATTTCAACCACCGGTTTCAGTGCCTTATTCGAACCCTCAAGATATTACATTGGCGACGAGGATGGCGCTAATAGGACGAGTGGAAGAGTTCAAGGAGTCGCGGGAGGATTTCGCATCCTACTTGGAGAGATTTGAACTATGGCTAGTGGCGAACGAAATAAAAGCAGAAAAACAGGTCAGTGTATTTTTAGCGTGCATTGGACCAGAAACTTATGGGCTGCTGAAGAACTTGGTAATACCAAAGAAGCCCGCAGAAATGACTTATGAAGAGTTGACTGACACATTGAAATCACATTATCAGCCGAAGCCTTTGGTCATAGCGGAGAGATTCCGTTTTCAAAAACGTGATCAAAAAGAAGGAGAGTCAGTGACGGATTACATAGTGGCAATAAGACAATTGTCGAAGGATTGTGAATATGGAACTCACTTAGATGACGCATTGAGAGATCGTCTTGTGAGTGGACTGTCCGCTGAATCGATTCAAAGAAAATTACTGGCGGAAAGAGAGCTGACGTTTGCCCGAGCATGTGAGATAGCGTTGACAATGGAGATGGCGTCGAAGAATTCTCTTGAAATCTTGGGAAAAGTACAGGCTGCAGCTGTAAATCAAGTTTCTAAATCATATATTGGAAGCAAAGGACATCGCCAGTTTAGACATGGAAAGGAGAATCCAAAACTGAAAAATTATCAGGAAGGGGACAGCGAACAGAGATGCTACCGTTGTGGGGGAGGGGGACATTCACCTCAGGAATGCCGATTCAAAAATGAGAAATGTCATGCGTGCTCCAAGACAGGGCACATTTCCAGAGTATGTCGGAATAGGAGACAGACTGCCAAGGTCCAGTACGTGGAAACGGAGGATCACAATGTAGACAGTGAAGATGACCCGTTAGGAGTCTTTACTATTTACATGGCATCCAGTGGGGATGGAGGCATTAAAGTTAATGTGAAAGTGTGTGATGAGGACATTAGTATGCAGTTGGATACGGGTGCGGCAGTGTCCCTTGCATCTGAAGTGTTGCACCAAAATAAGTTTCCGCATTTACCCATTGAAAAGTCCAACATCAGGTTAAAAGCGTACTCAGGAGAAATAATTCCCCTTCTTGGCTATGTTCAGGCACCAGTGCAGTACGGGGACCAGAAAGCTACACTACCTCTCATCACAGTGAAAGGAAACAGGCCGGCTCTGTTTGGCCGAAATTGGTTGGAGAAGCTGAAGCTGGACTGGAGGAATATTTTCACAGTTGAAAAAGGAACTAAACACGGCGACCCGGAATTACAAGCAGTGCTGCAGCGCCACTCTGTGGTGTTTTCAGAGAAGGTCAGTGCCATAGAAGAGTTTAGAGCAACAATAAGAATGCAGCCGAATGCGCAGCCAGTCTTTTGCAAAGCCCGGCCGGTGCCGTATTCATTGAAAGAGGCTGTTGAAAAAGAACTGAATAGGTTAGAGAAAGAGGGAATAGTTTCCAAAGTGGATCGTAGCAAATGGGGGGCCCCGATCGTAGTTGTACCGAAGGCCGATAAATCCATCCGCATCTGTGGGGATTACAAGGTCACAATAAATAACCAGCTGGAAGTCGAGACTTACCCCCTGCCCAACACTGAGGATTTATTTGCAACTCTAGCAGGAGGGAAGTGGTTTTCAAAGTTAGATCTTTCTCATGCTTATCAGCAGTTGAGATTGGACAAAGACTCCGAAGAGTATTTAACCATTAATACTCACAGAGGACTGTACCGCTACCATCGTCTCAGCTATGGGGTTGCCAGCGCACCGTCAATTTTTCAATCATTGATGGATCAGGTTCTACAAGGGCAAGAAGGGGTGACTTGTTTCCTGGATGACATCTTGATCACAGCCGACACAAAAGTCCTACACTTAAAAAGGCTGGATGCAGTGTTGAGCTCTCTTGCACGCTATGGTTTGAGAGCAAAGTTGGCCAAGTGCAGATTTCTACAGTCAAGTGTAGAGTATTTGGGGCATCGGATAGATCAGGAAGGCCTGCACCCTACTCAGCACAAAGTGGAGGCTATTGTAAATGCACCAAAGCCCACAAATGTTTCTGAGTTGCGTGCGTATTTGGGGCTGTTGAACTATTATGGCCGTTTTCTGAGAAACTTGTCTAGTGTGCTACAGCCATTGCACACTCTGCTAAAAAAAGAGGAAAAATGGAGCTGGACACCTGCATGTGAGGAAGCCTTCAAGACAGGTAAAGAGATGTTACTGAGCAGCACGGTTCTGGTACATTATGACACAGAGAAGCCGTTGAGATTGGCATGAGACGCATCCCTGTACGGGGTGGGGGCTGTCATTTCTCATGTGATGGACAATGGTGACGAGAGACCAGTTTAGGTTTGGAGCTTTACCATGAATGGATGGCCTAATTACCTGAATGATGAACGCCTGAAACCGTACTTTGTCAGGAGGCATGAGATGTCAGCCGATCAAGGTTGTGTTGTGTGGGGTCTCAGAGTCATTGTTCCTCAAATGCACCGGCCGAAGATTCTCAAAGACCTTCATCATGAACACCCGGGCATATGTAAGATGAAGGCGCTAGCTCGCAGCTATGTATGGTGGCCAGGGTTGGATGGCGAGATTGAGAACATGGTCCAACACTGTGCTGTGTGTCAAGCTGTGCAGAAGGCCTGTCAGAGTGTGGCAGAGGATCCATCTGGACTTCGCGGAGAAGGATAGACAGTACTACCTAGTGATAGTGGATAGTCATTCGAAATGGCTGGAGGTTTTCCACATGACCTCCACAACGTTGAGCCGAACCATAGAGGTGTTGCGCAACCTATTTGCAGCATATGGTCTTCCGGAAGAGGTGGTGTCGGATAACGGACCCCAGTTTGCCTCCGCAGAATTCAAGCAGTTCCTTGACAAAAATGGAGTAAAACAAACTCTGGTACCACCATATCATCCAGCATCGAATGGAGCGGCTGAGAGGTCGGTGCAAATACTGAAGCGGGCTCTTGTGAAGCAGGTTCTAGACGCAAGTGGACAGCCCAGCATCTCGCTGCAGCACAGGCTGTCAAACTTTCTGCTCATGTACAGGGCTACGCCGCACTCAGTCACCGGTCGCTCTCCAGCTGAGCTGTTTTTAAAGAGAGAGCTGCGCACCCGGTTCAGTCTTTTGAGACCAGATCTATCGCGCACTATAGAGCATCAGCAGGCAAAGCAAAAGCTGTATCATGACAAAGAGAGACTGAAATTGAGAGAGTTTCAGGAAAACGACGAAGTCCGCGTGAAAAATTTCAGGGGGGGAGATGAGAAATGGACTGCCGCGACTGTCATAAAGCGATTAGGTCCTGTGACATACCGTGTATGGGAAGGAAACAGACAGCGGTCAGTTCATGTGGACCACATGCTGGGGAGAAGAGGAGAACTCAAGGAACTGGAGTCATGCACACCTTTTGAGGGCCGGGATTTTATATCAGATGCTTCACCAGAGCCTGATCCAGTATCGGCCAGTGGAGTGAAACTGCCTGATTCTGACTCCTCAGAGAAGGGTGTCGGCCTGGGTCCAGCATTGTCAGGCAATGTTACGTCTCCTCCAGGCAGCCATAACAGCACCCCTGCTGTTCCTCCCGGAGTGCAGCCAAGAAGAAATCCAGAGAGAATCAGGAATGCTCCCAAGAGACTGGACTTGTAAGAGGTTAATTGGAGGCAGGGGTTTTAAAAAAAAAAAAAAAAAATGTTGAAGGACTGTTCCTGGTTCAATAAGATCTAGTGAGTTAAAGTGTTTATTTTTTGTGGGTAAACAGGTTTAAATCTTAAAGGGGAGGAATGTAGTAGACTGGGTTTCTCATGTTGGGGTTCTCATGTGAGGAAATGCGGTGATGTGATTGGTTCTTAGGTCACGTGACTTAGTGTAATCAGGAAGCTCCGAAGTGAGCTGTGTCTGTGTGTGTATATGCGGCTGTTCTCTGGCAGTTCCCAGTAAAAGCGATTGTGCTATTTCAACCACCGGTTTCAGTGCCTTATTCGAACGCTCAAGATATTACAATTTTGGCATAATTGTGTGTGTTATTGTTTGTTCAACCAAAGAGAACTGTATTCTGGCACCCGGTCTGTGCATGCGCATTATACTGGCGCGCGTTTTTCTGTGAGTCACATTCAGGACATTCACAGGCAGCGCGCTCTCTTTTGACTTATTGTCGTGCAAAATGGTTTTAAGGCATTTGCACGAAAAGCAGGATCATGTAAAACTAGTCAAAGGATGACAAAAAAGAAGAGATGCTGCGTTAATAGCCCTAATTTGTTTATTTCATATAAAATCGCGGCATTTTGCGTTATATAATCGCAGGTTTGACATCGCGATTACGATTGCGATACGATTAATCGTGCAGCACTACTCATAGGCTACTTATATTTTTGCTGGAGTAATATTTCATCCATGTATATTGTATTTTATCTCAAACACATGATCTGTGTATTTAGCATGCATGCACTTACACAGATGAGTGTGAGATTTGTATGCATGTCTGGTCTTGCAGAACCTCTCATTCTCATTTAATCTGTATCTCACTATTTCTATCTCTTTTTGCACAGTCTTTCTGTAAGCAGTTGAGTAATCAGAAATAAACCCCTCAGCACGTCAACATTCTTCACGTCAGATAAATCCAACTCCTCTGTTCCCCACATTTAATCCCCATCATCCTGCTTCACTCTTTTCTCCTCCAGTCCCATCCAGTTTCTATAAATATGACTGGCAAACTCTAAACTGTTTATACTGTAAGTACTACAAATAAGATAATTATTAACTGGAAGACAGGCAGATGTTAATGATCAAAACTCTAAAAAATATTTAGCTGTAGTTATGTTTGAAAAAGCAGCAATCAATTCTGAGCATCCTGTCCTAGATGGCGCTCATTCGCTTCTCAAACGCGACCACCCTTAAAACAGCACAAGATGTTTGACAGATGTATTAGACAGACAGTCAGGCAGTGTCATATCCTCACAGAGCTTTCATTGTCCCCAGCCTAGTGATGGGGAATTTGAGGACATTTTAGAGCCAGAGCAGGGCAGAAATTAACAATCACGCGTGTCCGACATAAAAACGCCTTTCAAATTGCTCAATTAATAATTTCAAAAGGAGAAGAGTGGCCACAAAAGTAGCTGACCACAGAACACTTGTAACATTGCTCAGCAGACATTATGCAAATATACTTCATCAGGCATTGTGGTCGTGTTGGTTCCCTCTCTTTCTTCAGCTCTCCTCTATGACACAAAAGAATGAGGCCATTGAAGAAACCTCTGTTGGCTGAATGACAAAGAGATTTTGTGCGCATTTATGTGTCTCAGTCAACAATTATATCATTCTTAAGACCATTACTAAATTTTATTACCCAAGATTCAGTTTCTAAGGGAACAAAACACTGATTGAAATATGTTTGGAGAACTTTTTGAAGTCTATTAGCTTTGGATAAATAGCTATTATTGTCACATTTATAACAAAAAGATGATTTTTTGTTTTTTAACTTGGTCATGGGACTGACAACAAGTTTGGTCCCTGTCAGTTATATGGCTCTGTTGTCTGGGAGATAAAGCAACCCTTCATCGCCTCTCTTCAAAGCATGACTGCTAAGGCTTTAGAAGTTGTAAACAGGACACTTGGAGTGGGTGTCTGTTAGATGTTCGGTATAAGGCACTCATAAGTAAAGGCATAAATACAACATATTTTTGTTTTAATTAAAGCATCAGGGTCTTTTAAATCTTATAAATGAACTTATTTCTATCCATTGCACTTATATTCACGTGAATTTTTATGTTGCGTAATTCTGCGCAAATTGTTATTTTCTGTCTGATGATAACCTTGGACATTTCCTTGGATGTTTCCAGAAGACTTAGAAGTAGAAGGTTAGTACTTCATCTTAATGGCATTTTTCATCTTAATGGCATGATTGTAAATATTATTGTGTACCACATACTGTAGAAATGTTCTTCAGTTAATGAGAGCCAAGGGCCAATTGTAAGTCTATTATTTGCAACTTAAAAAATGTGTTTCCTTGCTCAGAGTAATAGGAATAGCAATAAATTATATTATTAATGCATACATACAAAGTGTTGATAAAAAAGAAGAACTCTGGAACACTTCATTTCAATTGGCCAACCACAGCATTAGTGTTCAAATATTTCTGATATCAGGACCATTTTCTATGACAACACTACAAGTAAATTAACAAAATAATTAAAAATTAAATGTTATTTATTTAATAAAACAACACAAATCAAGTGTGCTTTTATTTGTCTTTAGTAATATTTAGTAACATTTATTAGTTTATTTATTGAATAGTCATTTCACATGAAATAAATAAAATATAAAATAAATATTAATAAATAAATAAAAAATAAATAAACAATAATGTAATGTAATAATTCTCTAGCTTAGGTAAAGTTTGTGTAAAGCCATTCGTTAGTCTGGTTGTTTGAGGAGAAAGAGATGAAATGTAGTTGCAATAATCACTTTAGAATCCATACGACTTTAGCTGAACTTTGGTAGACCAGTCAGCAAAAGGCGTGTTTCATTCCCACCCAGATATAAAAATTTAATATTCAAGCTATGTATGCATTTTCTACTCCTGAACGTAAAAACAGGAAATCAAGCCAAATTCTTTTTTCTTTGCTTTTAATATTAAATAATAAAAAACAATGAATTAACAAAACATACTGTACACTGATGAAATAATCTGTTTGAGTTATTTAGCAATATTGTCTGACGGAACAATATTCCTTATTTAACAAAGAGGAATCAAGCTGTTTTGAGAAACAGTCTCAAAAGTGTTAAGATGATCTTAAGAGCATAATTTGCATTGTTATCAGGAAAGCCAGCAATGTTGCAAATTATCACTTTTGAATTCGCTCAAAGAAGAGTGTCAGCTTACATCTTTAATTTTATTTTAAATGCAGTTTCTAACACTCACTTTTTGTGTTTGTTTTCTTGCTCTGATATTTGTGTTCCTAAATACTTAATTACACTTTAGAAAATTATTAGCTTTTAACATTTGTGACCCTGGACCACAAAACCAGTCACATGGGTCATTTTTTGAAAATTGAGATTTATACATCATCTGCAAGCTGAATAAATAAGTTTTACATTGATAAATGGTTTGTTACAATATTTGGCCGAGATACAACTATTTGAAAATCTGGAATCTGAGGGTGCCAAAAAAATCGAAACATTGAGAAAATCGCCTTTAAAGTTGTCTCTTTATGTTCGCGATTGTGCTGCATTCACTCACAAAAATAAATGTTTTATAAATTAACGGTAGGAAATTTACAAAATATCTTCATGGAACATGATCTTTACTAAATATACTAATGATTTTTGACATAAAAGAAAAATCGATAATTTTGACCCATACAATCTATTGTTGGCCATTGCCACAAACATACCTGTGCTACTTGTGACTGGTTTTGTGATCCAGGGTCACATTTTATAAAGATAAGAACTGGATTTAAATATACCTTTTTCTTTTAACTATGATATATGCCAGTAACATAATAACTACTTCATAGCATAAATCTCCCCCAAAAAAGCCAAAGGCTTTATGAGTTTGAAAACAGCCTATCTGTTCATGGTAATATGTTCAAAAACTCGGTTACATATTGTAACCCTCGTTCCCTGAGGGAGGGAACGGAGACGTAAGTCGTGAGACTAACCTCTCCCACAGCCAATAACCTTCTCTCCTCCTTCACTCCACTAACCGAGGAAGAAGTATCTAAACTTCTCCTCTCCAGTCATCCTACTACCTGCCCTCTAGACCCCATCCCCTCACACCTTCTACAAGCCATCTCTCCCACACTTCTACCAGCTCTCACACACATTATCAACTCATCCCTCCACACTGGCATTTTCCCTACAGCATTTAAGCAGGCTCGGGTAACCCCTCTGCTTAAAAAATCAACATTAAACACATCACTTCTAGAGAACTACAGACCTGTCTCTCTCCTACCATTCATTGCAAAAACACTTGAACGAGTTGCTTTTAACCAAGTATCATCCTTCCTGTCTCTGAACAACCAGCTGGATGTCAACCAATCTGGCTTCAAGAAAGGACATTCAACTGAGACTGCATTGCTGTCAGTCACGGAAGCCCTGCGGATCGCAAAAGCTGCTTCCAAATCATCAGTTCTCATTCTACTGGACCTGTCTGCTGCCTTCGACACTGTGAATCATCAGATCCTCTTGTCCGCCCTCTCATCACTGGGCATCACTGGAACCTCCCTCAACTGGTTTGAGTCCTATCTCACAGGTAGGTCTTTCAAGGTCACATGGAGAGGTGAGGTATCCAAAGCACATCAACTGACCACAGGAGTTCCTCAGGGTTCAGTTCTCGGACCGCTCCTCTTCTCCATTTACACCACATCACTGGGACCTATCATACAGGCACATGGTTTCTCTTACCATTGCTATGCTGATGACACCCAGCTCTACCTCTCATTTCAACCAGATGATCCCACAGTAGCTGTACGGATCTCAAGCTGTCTGGCGGACATCTCGGCATGGATGAAGGAACATCACCTGCAGCTCAACCTGGCAAAGACTGAGCTTCTCGTCCTCCCTGCCAATCCGTCTCTACAGCACGACCTCACTATCCAGGTAGATCCATCCTCAATCACCCCATCAAGGTCGGTCAGAAATCTTGGGGTAATCTTTGATGATCAGCTGACCTTCACAG